TAAATATTTCACAAGTTTCGTTTACTCATTATTTTTTTACGTGTATGGGTGTTTTGCCTCCATGTCTGTGTACCTCATACATAATCTTCAGGAGCCAGAAGAGGGCGTCAGATCCTCTAGGACTAACCCTGGTCCAGTCCGGGAAATGCTCTTAATTAACCTGAGAGCTCTCTCCAGACCCAATCACTGGTCTCTGAAACAGTGGAGAGAGAGAGAAAAAAAAAATCTTGGCCGGGTGTGGCATCGGAGGACTTTAAACCTAGCACTTGGGAGGCAGGTGGATCTCTGTGAGGCTCCAGGCTAGTGAGGGCTCTACACAGTGAGTCTCCGTCTTAAAACTAAAAACAACCACCACCACCCAACCAAACAAACAAAAAGGCTGATTACAAATTGATTTTTTTTTTTTCCCCACCAGAGACAGTGTCTCATTATGTCCACCAGGGTGGCCTGGAACACACATGGGATCCGAGCCTGCCTCTTCTATCAAGTTGTGGGATTTAAAGTCGTGCGTCACTACTCCTGATTTCAAATGCAAGTGGTTAAATATACTAGCGAAGTTAATTTCATTTGTTAATAAGTGTGGCAAGTGGAACATCTAAGCTGCACACTGTGGTGAGCCATGTATGTATGTATGTATGTATGTATGTATGTATGTATACACACACACACACACACACACACACACATATTACTAGAGAAAACTGGTTTAGACTAAAGCACCTCATAAAAACTACTCAAGGGCTTCAAGAGGCAGCACATGTTTTCACATTTCTGTTCTCTGTTCACTCCCCTGTTTGAGAGGCTTTCCTGCTTGGTGTCACGGAGCGGAGCCGCCAGGGCCGCGAGCGACGGCCCTCCCGCAAGCAGCCGGTGCGCACGCATCACTCCCCATCCACCTCGATTCCCGTCTGCGTCCCAGGGCTGCACACCTATGGGGTTTGGGTGTTTCCCCCCGTTTCTTTCTTTCATCCTTGTTTGTGTGTGGGTGTGTGATTTACTTCCTATTTTGGTCTCGAAAATTGATGGGGCGGAGCACCTGGGATAAACTTTCCAGAGAAGCCAAGTTAAGTTTGGCGGAGGAGGATAGAAAAAGAACGGATGGAGAATTCTTGAAGGCTACGAGACGATGGGGAGATCAATTTCGGGCCCACCGACTCCGCAGCCAGCAATTCGACAGGGGAGGGAAGTGTCAGGGAGACGGAACCTCCCTCAGGTAAAAGGAACAGAGTTCTCGGTTTGACGAGGAGGAAGTTTGCAGCAGGCGGGCACACGCCTGAGTTTATCTCGGTCTACCGTGATAACCGTCCCCGGCGGGAACAGACCAGCGGCAGGCCG